ACCGGCCGCTAGCTGCCGCAATCCGCAAACGCCCAGCTGCGCGCGGGGCTTCCCCGTCCGAGTCTGGCGCCCCGCACGACAGTGTGCAAGGACTGAGGGGAGAACCACGCGCGGAGGACAAAGCCTGGAAGCCAAGGTTAAATCTTTCATTCTCGTGGGCGTCGTTTTCTAGGCCCAAAACACTGTTTTCTTTGCGGAAAGTAATTCTAGTAGCCTGTTGACACAGAGGAACAGTAACACTATAGGATTTGAACGAAAATGAGTGGTAATTTAATGCAACCAGTGGGTTGCTAGAAAGTAAATGGAACTCGTTTCATGGATTGTTCATACTTGTTAAATTTGTCTTGTGGAATCATTCACATCCATAACACTCATTCCCTACTTGTTGAAGTGCTTCAGCGTCTATTAGGATTGTTAGGAGCAGAGGATTCAAAGATACTGGATATAATTGGGAATCCACAGTGCTCCCATAGTGAAGGAAACATTTATAAATAAGCTTAAATATAATTAAATAGACCAATTCACAAAAGGCTACAGAAGCTCATACCACATCATGATTAATTTGGCCTCACACAGCATCATGTTCAGCTTAGTCTGGAAGGATGAGCAGCCAACTAGTAAAAAGCACACTTTTGTTTACTAGTTGGAAACTGGTTTTGACTCAGCATGTGATTTGCATAAGAGGAGAACAAGCTAATAGTCTAAAATAATATCACCTTGGCAACTCCTGTCCACTTTTTCTGGGTACCCAGAAGGATGAAATTATACTACTTCTTTATGAATAATTTCATTCTGAAAGTTATCCACTTACATTTTAAAAACTCTTCTAAACAGTGTAATTAGTAGGCAAACATCATCATTTACCCATTATTTTACTGATATATATTTAACTTTTTCTTTAATATTGTTAAAAAGATAAACTGAGGCATATTAAGAATTTTGAGTTTATTTGAGCAAAAATTTATTCAAATCAGGCAGTACCAAACTGGAAGTGGTTAGGAAAGCTCAACTGACCAGAGCTAAAGGCAAGGCTTTTATAGACAACATGCACAGGCAAAGCAAAGCAAAGCAATTATTTGATTGGCTGTAAGTTAAGCAGTTGCGTTATTTGGGAAAACTTAGTTGGCTGTTTATAATTGGTGGTTGGTCTTATCCTTGAAGCATTTACAGGAATTGACTCTGGCTTAGGTTTTGGTTTCCCTACTAGGCTACCAAGTACCAGAGTTATCTCAGTCTAATAGCCTTCTCTTCGATTACTTTAACAATATGCTGAGAAAACCTGCATTTTTATCTTCTTTTAAGCTTAGTTTCATCCTACAAATATAGTCAGTAAAACATTTGGTCTACTTCTCAAGGTTTCTAAATAGCTAAAATGAAATCATATTCTGAAGACTGTGCTATAAAATTATAGGGAATTGTTATGCATTGTTAAAATAAATTTCCCAGGTCTAGTAATTCAGAGACATTTGTTGAATGTAAACTACTTGAGTGATATTTAATTTTTTTTTTTTGCTATTTAAGAAATAAGCTTTGATTCCTTGTTCATATCAACTGAGAGGTTTCCTTTAAAAATAGAGGCTGATGGAAAAATTGAAAATGGCTGTCACTTTCAGACTGGCCATCATTATTGTATGTAATTTTTGTTTTTTTTAGCTGTCTTTCCTCCCCATTCACCAATATCCTTCCCATCCTTTAAGGTGAGCTTAAGATCAGAATGGCATGATGGAAAAAAATGAAAAAAAAATTGGTAAAGCTAGTATATTTATAAGAACCCTAAATACTTCCTTATACATTACTGATTTAAATCATATACTGGGAAGATCTTTCTAGAAAAAAAAATTTGTCAACAGATTATCAAAATCTTTTAAAATGTTCATATTCTAAAGAAATAATCAGAAACATGGCCAAAGATTTCTGCAGAGATACTGAACACAGAATTACTTAAAGTGATTTAAAATGGAAATAAGGTAAATAGCCAGTATTAAGGAAATAATTAAGTGAATCATGGTGCATTTATGCAATGTAATTCTATACTGACATTTTAAATGCTGCTGTGGAGGTTTTGGTTACGGACGTTTGAGTTTTGGAGATTTGTTAAGTTGGAAAGGAAACCTATTATAATATTTTTTTAAAAAGAAAAAAAAAAGTTGGAAAGGAAACCGTATACAGAACCCCATATATACAGTGTGCGTTACATGCCGCTGAGGCAGCTCTGGCTCCTGTCTATCCCATGAGAGTGACATCCACAATGTCCTGTCCTCAACAGCCCTGCTCACCTCCTGTAGACTCAGCCTGTGGCTTCTTTTATGGAATCAATCCATTTCATATTTGGTCTTCCTCTTTTCCTGCAGCCTTCTATTTTTCCTACCATTATTATCTTTTTCAAAGAACCCTGCCATCTCATGATGTGCCCAAAATAGGACAGGTTCAGTTTTATCATTTGCCTCCAGTAATGTTTCAGGCTTAATTTGCTCTAGGATCTACTTGTTCATCTTTCTGGCAATTCATGGTATCCATCAAGCTCTCCTCCAACACCATATTTCATATCAGTCTTTTTCCTATCAGCCATCTTCACATCCATACATAGGAACTGGGAATACGAGGGTGTGGGTGATCTCAGGCTTGGACGCTAATGACACATCTTTGCTATGGGTCTTTCCAAATTCTTCCATTGCTGCCCTTCCAAGTTTCAGCCTGGTCTTGATTTCTTGGTTGCAGGCTCTATTTGAATTGATGAGAGAACCAGGGTAAACAAAATTTTAAACAATTTCAATGTCTATGTGAAAGTTGTGTATTTCTTCTGTAATTATGATTTTTGCCTTCTCGGTGTCCAAATGCAATCCAGCTTTGGCACTTTCTTCTTTCACTTTTATCAAAAATCATTTCAAATCTTTGCTACTTTCTGCCAGCAAGATGGTGTCACATGCATATTTTGTTTTTGATATTCCTTTTACCAATTCTCACTCTTCCTTCATCTGAGTCTATCTAACTTTTTTGTATATGTTCTGCATACAAATTAAACTCAGAGAGAGACCAAACGCACCCATGTCTGACACCTTTGCCTACAGGAAACCATTCTGTCTCTCTTATTCTATCCTGGCAGTGGCTTCCTGTCAACCATACAAGCTACACCTCAGAAAAAATCAAGTACATGATATATCTATGTAAAAGCTCATGGAAATAACAAAATATCTGCATTTTTTATAATAAGCATGTATTATATTGATTACATAAGTAAAAATTTTAAATTTAATTTTGCACAAAAGAAGAAAAAAGTCCTGGACTAGATTCTAGCCTTCAATCTGGCTTTAGCTAGCCTCCGTATCCTCACCTGGAAAATTCTGTCATTCCATAATGCAGTGAGGGAAAAGGGCAAGATAGGCGAGAAAAGGACACTTCAGAAGGAAAAGGAGGAAAGATCTGATTGAAAATGGGCCCACAGCCTCCTCTTCTCACCCTACTGCGTCTCCTCCCCACCAGACTCTGAATACCATCACCGCCAACGAACTTTCACAATGTTTGCAAAGGCTTTGTTTGATAAGTTAACCCAGGGCAGTCTTTCTGTAAAAAGCAATACAGTTTATCTGCCAAATTAACTAAAAATGTCTTCCCGCACACAAGTCATTAATTAAGTCAACAAACTTTGGATCGTCTCTTTCCGTTTAGGGACGTTGTTACACAACAGTGCCTAGTTGAGCAACTTGCAATGGTGAGCTGCTTGGCCCTACGTGCCATGGTCCTGTACACAGAGGGTGAATATTTAGCTGTTTCAGCCTTCCTGGAAGGGTGCCTGATGTTGGCCACAGGGAGCAAATAAAAAGGATGGGCGCGTCGAGAGAGAGCAAGGGAACCCGAGAGCAAGAGAGGGGGCGTGGAGTGACAAAGAAGGTCTCAGAACTGAGTGCTGGCGGCAGGCAGACGCCTGGAATTTCTGTGAATGATCTCAGAATCTAGAAGCGCTGAGCAACCCCGGGGCT